GCCTTTGGCTGGCCAGCCTGAGCTCCGTTGCTGAGCTCTCTGCTGAGAAGAGGGTTTCCGACCCTGAGGACTTCGTGAAGCACAGGAGTCACTTAGCCATCGGCTTCTCTGATCAGGTGCCGCTGTGGGCTAAGGCCACAGGCCGAAAGGCCGTCTTCTCTGAGGAGGAGCTCCACTCACCTGAGACAATTCAAGACTTTTCTGAGATCAGGGAAGCCATTCAGGATGCCATGAGGACTGACTCAGATGCAACCTTTCAAGTGGTTCCCATCAGCAGCACAGGTGACAGCACTCCCGGAGTAAAGAAAGCCCTCAGCTTCGGCTCAGAAGGGTCAGGCACAGTCAGAAGGGCCCTGAGCTTCAGCAGCCTTAGCCCAGAGAAACCTCTGCAGACCGAGGACAAAGCTGAGGAGGAGCAGCAGCAGATGTTCAGGCACAGTCAGAAAGGCCCTGAGCATCAGCAGCCTCAGAAGAAACAGAAGAAGGCATTGCCTAAGGCCGGAGCTAAGACCACCTTAGGCTTCTCAGCCGACGAAAGATTCAGAATCACCTACGAGGCCCGTCAGGTGCTTCTTCAGGTTCTGGATGAGCCCAGCAAGCCAGTCGTCGGCTTAGTGGGCAAGGGGCTGCTGGTGGTGCCCGGCCAGTGGGCTCGCCTCAGCAACATCTCTCAGGACGGCAAGTGGATCCGGACTGAGAGGTTCAGGGTCGGTGCTAAGGAGAAGGTTCACTCAGCTGGTGCCTCAGTCGGCAAGATCTTGCTCAGCTATCGAAAGCTCAGGCAGGCTCACCCTGAGCTGGTCGCTAAGCTGGACATCATGAGCCAGCCAGCTGCGAACGTCGACTCCGTGATCCTGAGCTGGGTCATTGAGGGCCAGGCCACTGAGTACCCTTGCTCAGTCTGGCAGAGGGACTGCTTCAGCTCCGTGTTCTCAGACACGGCTGCTGAGTCGATGGCCTTAGCCCAGCAGATCAGCTGCTTAGTTGCTGCGAAGTGCACGTCTAAGCTCCAGATCACGGACTCAGACTTCGCCAAGGAGTTCAAGGGTGCCGTGAGGCACAAGCTGTCCTCCCTGAGAACAGAGTTTCAGGAGCAGCAAAAGTTCTCAGGGAAGTCTGAGGTGTGGCGAGTGGGTGCCCTTGAGATCGTCACCTCAGTGGTCTGGGCTGAGGAGCAGCTGAGGCAGAAGAACGAAGAGCACTCCTGGGTCGTGAGGGCAGCCGTCAGGAGTGGCCTTCTGGCCTATCGGCCTAACCCTCAGACTGGGAGGCTTGAGACGGTCTCCGAGCAGCCCTGGGCTAAGGAGCTCGACCTCAGGATGGGCAGTCGTCGCTTCCCAGCCAGCTGGCTCTCAGAGAGGCTTAAGTGGCTGGACGACGCAGGCAAACCCATCCAGCCTGACTGGTCTCTGAGCGACTCAGCTAAGCAGATCTCCGACCTTATCAGGTGGGACTACTTCAACCCTGAGGAAGACCTTGAACAGGAGCCTGAGGAAGGAGGCTTTGACTTAGACGGTGAGCTCGCAGAGCATCTGGACCTGAGTCTGCAGAACAGCCTTTCCCTCAGGCTGCATCCAAAGCTCCGCCGTGCAGCAGCTCGCAGAGCTCTTGAGGAGGGCTATGCTGACAGAGTCAAGGAGATCAGGAAAAAAGCAGCCGTGAGGAGGGAGAGGCTCAAGCACAGGACAGCCTTCAGGGGCAAGCTTCTGCAAAGCTTGAGGCAAAAGCTGATGCTTAACAGTCGTGCAGAAGCACTGGCTGAGGTGGTGCCTGTGAGGACAGAGACGAAAGGCCAGAAACTGAGTGCAACCACCAAGCCCTCAGCAAAGAACAAGCCCTCAGCAAAGGGCAAGGCCAGCAAGTTCCTGAAGGCTTCGGCTAAGAAGAAAGCAGCTAAGAAGCACGACCAGAAGGCCACAGTCGACGAGGTCATTGGTAAGGTCACAGCTAAGAAGAAGAAGGAGAAGAAGGAGAAGAAGGCTCAGGCCAAAGCTGAGACCAAGGCCAAAGCTGAGACCACAGAGACTGAGTCCGCAGCCCTGGCTCCTTTCCTTGAGAAAGAAGTCATTTGTGTCTCTGAGGCTGCTGGCCACATGCTCTTCGGCATTAAGGGCATTGCCTCAGACTTCCAGTCAGGTCGCTACACTGTCATGACCGTGAGTGGCACCTTCGAGATCAGGTCTGAGCATCTGACCCTTTGGGAGCCCAAGACTGCTGAGTTCGTCTGGGCTCAGCTGAAATACCTCAGCAGGGCAGATACTGCTGGCCTGAGCCAAAGCTGAGGCACGACGACTATGCCGACCACGGCTTAGTGCCCTTCCCTGACACTGAGAAGCCATTCTTAGTGGAGGATCAGTGGATCTGGCAGGGCTGGGCCATGATGAGCTGGTCTTTGCGAAAAGCCAAGGCAGGCTCCTTTGAGGAGTTCTCAGTGGAGTGCTTAGACCCTGGCCTTCCTCACTTGCTCTTCGAGTTTCCTGAGCACTTGCTTGAGCCACGTGAGAATGCCGTTAAGCAAGCCTTCAGCAATGCCCTCAGGCTTCTGGTTCCAGTGGTTAGGGCTTTGCACTGGACCTTGCTGGTGGCTCAGAGAGAGAGACCGAGGGCTTTCAGTGGCGACTCTACGACAGCCTTCAGCAGCCAATTGAGGCCTGCACCTTGGCTCAGGTCAGGATTGGGAGCTTGCTCGATCCTCAGTTCAGCCTCCCCAAGAAGACGAACTCAGCAGTGCAGCCTCAGGGGTCACTGCTCTGCGGGTTCTATGTCTTAGCCTGGATGGAGCAGGAAGTGAGGCAGGCCCGAGGAGAATGGCTGAGGGTTTGGCCTGGGCTTCTGGCTAAGACTTGGAAGGAGAGGCTTCTCAAGATGAAGCCACATCTTGAGAAGGAGCAGAAGCTGAGGATCGCTGAGATCGACAAGGCCTACAAGAAGACTGAGGCAGAGAGAGAGGAAGCAGAGAAGAGGGTAGCCAAAGCTCAGCACGCCTTAGACACAGCCAAGACTTCGACCAGCAAGGCTGCTGTGGCTGCTAAGGAATCCCTCGACAAGAACCTCTTCAGGTTCACCTGGAAGCATCTCAGCAAAGAAGCCACAGCCAAGATTCTGGCCTTAGAGCACTCGCCAGGGATCTGCCAGAATTGCCGATGGCAGACAGGCTGTCCTCAGTGCCAGGCTGAGAAAGCCCTGAGGTACCACCTCACCACTGAGGCCGCTGCTCAGGGAAAGCTGCCCTTTCGACCAGGACTGCAACTCTGCCATCAGCCTTTTGCACTTGTGAGCCCTTGCTTGAGACGATTGCCCTGCTGCAGGACCCACGGAATTCGCTCAGTATCTCAAAGAGATGCTGAAGGCCAACAAGCCTGAGCCAATTCAGGCTGAGAAGGGTAGTGACAAGCCTGAGCCAATTCAGGCTGAGAAGGGTAGTGAGGCTTCCGGTGCCAAAGAAACCTGAGCAAATCCAGGCTCAGGAACATCCCCCAGTATCTCAAAGAGATACTCAAGCCAACAGGCCTCAGCCGATTGAGGCTCAGAAGGGTAGTGAAGCTTGCCCAGCCAAAGAAACCTGAGCAAATCCAGGCTCAGGGACATCCCCCCTCTAGGGCCGGCCACGACTGCTGCCTCAGGCAACTTAGGACGTCCAGAAGTCCAAGAGTTCGGGTTTAGGGATAACTCAGTCATCAACTTGCAGCCTGAGGCAGCACGGGCCCTCTTTTTGAAAAGCTTGAGAGACCCAGGTTGAGAAGAATACTGAGCTTCTGCAGGGCTGAGGGTTTTGCATTTGGAGGTCTGGTATTGAGGATTGAATGTTTTAACTTAGTTTAAAGCAAGCCCCAAATCCTTAAAAAAAATTGCCGGATTTCGGGTTCGGTTTGACTTTAAAGCGGACCCCTCAAACAGTGAGGGGGTCCTGAATAATTCCGCCAAATTGACTTTAAAGCGACCCCCCCTAATAAAGCAGGTCCAACATTAAACCCTAAACCCTAAACCTTAGGTGGGATCTGTTGGGTTGCCGGCGTCGCGACCCGGCAGGTTGGTGTCTGGTGGGGTGTCTTCTCCTGGCGCAATCACGGGTGTCTTCCGACGGGTTTAGGGTTTAGGGTTTAGGGTTTAGGGTTTAGGGTTTAGGGTTTAGGGTTTAGGGTTTAGGGTTTAGGGTCCAGAGCAACCTAAACCCTAAACCCCATGCAGGGCTTTGGTGTTTAGTGCTTGGGATCCAGGGAGTCAAAGGTGGTTTGGCATTTTGTGTCGCATCTAGAGCAGCTTTTGCGGTGCACTAGGGTTTAGGGCTTAGGGTTTAGGGACTTGGGTACGTTAAGGGTTTGTAAGTTGGGGAGGCAGAGGCACCTGAAGCCCCCCCAGGAAGCAGGCGCCTTAAACCCTAGACCATAGACCCTAAACCCTAAACCGCAGGCAGGGGGGACCTGGATTGAGGGGCTGCGAATTTTAGGGTTTTCTGTTTTTCTTCGAGTTTCGGTGGTTTTTGTTGGGAGGCATACTGTTTTTTGGTAGCTCACTTAGCTCACCCTCCCAACCCTACACCTGCTTGCGTTGGAGCTTAGGCCAGTTTAGGGTTTAGTCAGGGTTCAGCGGCTTGGGGTTGCGGGGTTGGCTACGGGCTGGGGGCTTGCGGTTCAGGTGTACTTCTGGTTTAGGGTCTGAGGGACTCTAAACCCTAAACTTTAAACCCTCAAGTGCTTGCAGGGTTGAAGGTCTTCAGTTTAGCCGTTGTGGATGGGGGGAGTGCCCTTAACCCTAAACCCTAAACCCTAAACCCTAAACCCTAAACCCTAAACCCTAAACCCTATAAACCCTAAACCCTAAACCCTGAGTGTTGGTGTTTAAGGTTGAAGGATGGGATAAATTGTCAGTTCGAGCATACAGGCTCGAGCTCCCCATCGCACGATGTCTCGGGTTTTGGGTTTAGGGCTTAGGGTTTAGGGCTAGGGTTTAGGGTTTGGGGTTTAGGGTTTGTTTAGGGATCCCAACTTGAGAACGTGCAGGACTTCTATCGCAGGCAGGCGCACAAAACGCTCCTAGCTCCTGGGCCAGACATTATGAAAGCCCATGAAGGGATGCCACATAGCAAGGGTAGTCGTTGCTTTGTGGTTCTGGGTAGCCCAGTGGTCCCCTTTTCCCTTTTTGCTTTCAAGGTTTCCTTGTAAAGTAGCCAACCACAGACAGGTGCCCTTAACTTACTAAGGATATGGCTACTTAATGGCTGGCTGCGACCTTAGATCCATAGCCCTTTTTTGGGGCTGAATGCCTTTGTGAAGCATCTACGAAGCCGGAGAGATAAGCGGAGCCATGCAGAGATGTCTTCATGTAAGGGGACCCCAAGAATATAGCTTCATGTCGAGCGTTTGGGGAGCTGCTCGGGATGCCCATGTAGCCCTAGACCCTAAACCCTAAACCCTAAACCCTAACCCCTAAAGCCTAAACCCAAACCCGAAACCCGAAACCCTAAACCCTAAACCCTAAACCCTAAACCCTAAACCCTAAACCCTAAACCCTAAACCCTAAACCCTAAACCCTAAACCCTAAACCCAAAGAAAGACCTCGAATCGCCGAGTTCTGCGCGCGCGAGTCGGGAGGGGAGGTGGTGAAGTTCGCCATCAAGCGAGCAACTCAGGGTTTAGGGTTTAGGGTTCAAGGGTTCAAGGGTTTAGGGTTTAGGGTTTAGGGCTGCAGGGCTGCTCTAGAGGTTTTGGGGTTTAGGGTTTTGGGTTTAGTGCTGTTTTGGGGTTTTAGGATTTTGGGGTTTTCGGGTCTAGGGCTTTGCAGGGTTTAGGCTTTTGAAGGCCTGGGGCTTAGGGGCTTTCAGGGTGCAGGATTTGCAGGGATTAGGGCTCAGGGCTGCTGAGGGCTCAAGGGCGGTCCTTGTTGGGGATTTCGCTTATGGCTCAGGGGTGCTTGGGTTTTGGACTCGACCCTAAACCCTAAACCCTAAACCCTAAACCCTAAACCCTAAACCCTAAACCCTAAACTCTAAACCCTAAACCCTAAACCCTAAACCCTAAACCCTAAACCCTAAACCCTAAACCCTAAACCCTAAACCCTAAACCCTAAATCCCAGACTTGATGTTGTTCAGGCGTGCTGTGCTTTTGGCCGCGTTCATGTCAGAGACAGCTTCCAATCATGACCTTTGCGCTTTTTGTGGTTCCAGATGTTAGTTCCAGATGTTAGGGTTGAGAGGTTGCGGGGTTTCCGGGTTTATGGTGTAGAGATCTGGGGGTCAGTTTTTCTCGGGCGTAGAGTGTAGAGCTTTGTCAGGGTAAGCTCTTGTTCAGGCTTTATGGGGCTTTGGCCTTGCAAGTGTAAGGTGTAAGGAGTCCAAACCTGTCCGCAAAGCAAGTTTTGGGGCAACTTAGGGTTTGGTGTCTTGGGTTTGGGGCTCACGCCGCCCTAAACCCTAACCCCTAATCCCTCTAAACCCCCAACCCTAAACCTTAAACCCTAAGCCCTCCCGAAACTTGTTTGGGATCAGCTTCGGGTGAGTTAGTTTTGACTTGTTGGCACTCTGGTTCCAGGTCGAGCTTGAGGTGCAAAAGCCCATTTGGGGGTTGCCGAAATTCGGGGTACCATGTTGGGGGGGCTTATTTTTAAGAGAATCCTACAATTTAGGGATCTATGTTGGGGGGTCCCCCCATATTGGTAAACCCACGTAAACCCGAAAGTGGATCATTGCAGCGAGCCACTAGAACACCCAAGACCGACCCAGCTGCTTCTGATCACATCTCGTACATAGCTGCTGGCGACGAGATGTGTGGACGACCGCTGCCGTGGAGGTTGGCCTACCTTTCCCTTGGTAGCCGAGTAGGTAACCTATAACCTTTTGGTGCATAAATACTGAAATACATCTGTATATATATATATGCATACATTTATATATATATATATGTATATTTATTTATTTATTGGTTTATTTATTTATTATATTTATATTTATATTTATATTTATATTTATATTTATACTTATATTGATATTTTTATTGATCTTCATATAATTATATCTTACCATAATTGAAAGGCTAACCTTTTTTGGCCCCGGATACTCAGCAACTAGGTTCCTGACCATGCTTGTGCCGGCTTTCCCAGCCTCCCGGTGTACTGTCTCTGGGGGAGTTGAGCACACCTGCGCCGTGAAGGCGAGTGGTGAGCTGCTGTGCTTTGGGAGCAATGGCTGTGGCCAGTGCGCCGCACCGGCAGACCTGGGGCCCGTAGTGCCCGTTGCTGCAGGACACTATCACACCTGCGCTGTGAAGGCGAGCGGGGAGCTTGTGTGCTTTGGGCACAATGATTTCGGCCAGTGCCACGTACCGGTAGATCTAGGGCCGGTGGTAGCCATTGCTGCAGGAGAAGCTCACACCTGCGCTGTGACGGCGAGTGGGGAGCTGGTGTGCTTTGGGAACAACACAAGCGGCCAGTGTGACGTGCCGGTAGACCTCGGGCCTGTGGTGGCCGTTGCTGCAGGAATGAACCACACCTGCGCCATGAAGGTGAGCGGGGAGCTGGTGTGCTTTGGAGACAACACAAGCGGCCAGTGTGACGTGCCGGTAGAGCTGGGGCGCGTGGTGGCCTTTGCTGCAGGACACTATCACACTTTGGCCGTGAAGACGAGCGGGGAACTGGTGTGCTTTGGGAGCAACGACTTCGGAGAGTGCGACGTGCCAGCAGCAGACCTGGGGCCGGTGGTGGCCGTTGCTGCGGGAGAAGCTCACACGTGTGCCGTCAAAGCTAGCGGGGAGCTGGTGTGCTTCGGGGACAACGACTTTGGCCAGTGCGATGTGCCGGCAGACCTAGGACGTGTGGTGGCCATTGCTGCAGGAGCAACTCACACCTTGGCCGTGCGGGCGAGCGGGGAGCTGATGTGCTTTGGGCACAACGACTGCGGCCAGTGTACTGTGCCGACTGACCTGGGCTCCGTCTTGGCCGCTGCTGCAGAAGCCCTTCCGACCGGTCCGTCATCCGTCTCGCAGGATGCGAGGCTCGAGGTCGCCGCGGAGATATTTCCGGACGCACTGCGATCCGAGGGTCCACATGATGGCTGCGGAAAATCACTGTTTGCTTGAGAGCCCCCCCCCAAGAAATTCAACAAATCTGCTTCCTTATAAGAGCAACATCCGGATTATGACTCTTGATTCTTGGGGACCGGTACAAGGGCGCGCTTCCAAAAAATCAGCTCTCACTTGCCAAGAAGTCACACACCCCGTAGACCTGCACACCCTTATAACTCTACAGCCCAAGACCCACACCCCGCAACCTCTGGACGTCTAGCTAGACCCCTAAACTCGCGGGTGGTTGTAGGGCTTAGGGTTTCAGGTGAAGGGTTTAGGGCTTGAAGCCCCTCAGCCAAGAGCAGAGCAGGTACCTAACCGAGCTGCAGCCCAGACGGAAAGAAGAGTCTCGGCTGCTGACAAGGTGCACTGACTTGGGGTCTATGGAACTCCATCCAGTAAACCCTCAACCCGAACTTCCTAAACCCTAAACCCTAGACCCTAGACCCTAGACCCTAGACCCTAGACCCCAAAATCCCAAACCCTAAGCCAACAAACAACCCACAACCAAAACTTCTACAAACCTCTAAAAAGCCTAAGAAACCCCTAAGAACCCCTAAGAACCCCTAGGAATCCTAAACCCCGGCCGACTCAGACACCTCCGTGCCTGTGGAAGGCAGATCTGCCTTGGGAGCCCCCAAAGCGCACACACTCCAAGACCACACCTCGAGCCCGAAAGACCAGAAATCCCCAAGCTTTTTGGAAACCTTGAACACCCTGAAAATCCCAAGCCCGCTACCCGAATCCCTAAACCCTAAGGCCCTAAACCTTAAACCTTAAACCCTAAACCCCATAAACCCTAAACCCCAAGCCCCTAAATCCCAAGCCCTGGCACCCCACGAGTCGCAACCTCTAGGCTCACACCCTGTGAAGCCCATTTATGGTGTTTGGGGTGGAAAAACAGGGTGGGTGTTTGGCCTTAACCCCAAAGAGCCCCAAAGCCCCTGAACCCCTGTAAGGCCTAAATCTTAAGCCCATTAACCCCAAAAACACCAAAACCCCAAAACACGTGTACCCTAATGAAACCCTAAACCCTTGTACCCGAATTCCTAAACCCCTGTATGCCCTGAACCCGATACACTAAACCCTAAACCCCAAACCCTAAACCCCTAAACCCTAAACCCCGAACACCAACCCTTAAACCCTACAGACCCCTAAACTCTAAACCTTAAACCCCCCAAACCCTAAACCCCTAAAACGTAAACCCTAATCCCTAAACCCGCAACCCCCAAACCCTAAACCCCAACCCCCCCTAAACCCTAAACACCAACCCTAAACTCTAATCCCCTAGTCCCTAAACCCTAAACCCCTAACCCTAGACCCTAAGCCCCAAACCCTAAGCCCTAAACCCTAAGCCCCAAACCCTAAACCCAAACCCTAAACCCAAACCCTAAACCCTAAACCCCAAACCCTAAACCCTAAACCCGAAACCCTAAACCTCCTGTCATCCCAAGGAGCGGGACCGAGAGCAGGGCTCCGGCCGGAGAACGCCGCCGGGGTCGAAGGCCGCGGGGCCCCTTGAGCCTTTTTAGGGTCTAGGGTTTAGGGGTTTAGGGTTTAGGGTTTTGGGGTTTAGGGTTTAGGGTTTAGGGTTTGGGGTTTTGGGGTTTGGGGTTTGGGGATTGGGTTTTGGGGTTTGGGGTTAGGGTTTAGGGGTTAGCAAGCCAGGGGGGGAGGGTTAGTCGTTGCCGGGCCTTTGTTCCAGGTGTTCAGGGGTGAGGGTTGGGAGGTTTTGACGCCTGTGCCTTGACATGTTGGGTTCTGGGTTTAGGATTTACCGTTTATCGGGCATAATTCCTCAACTTTTTTTGTTTTCTGGTTGCCTCGCTGTTGTTCTAGAAGACTTGTTTCAGATCCGAATCCAGCGATGTACTAACATGAGGGTTTCGCAAAAACTTCACGCTAGTCCCTAAGCCCTCTTGGAGGAAGTACCCCCCCACGTGCACTCCTTTAGGGGTTAGGGTTTGTAAGCCCTGATTATCCCAGACACCCAGAACCCTGAACTGCCTAAACCCTCCCATGAGACATGTAGGGTTCACGGTTTTTAGAGTGCCTAAACCCTAAATGTCTTATTAGGCATATGGGCGTTTACAAGGGATCCCTAATCATGTAGACTCCCAAATAGTACGTAGGATTCCCTTAGAACAAGGACCCCAACAAGGTACCCCTACTTTCGAAAAAAACATGTCTCTAAGCTTGGTTCTATGGGCCCTTAATATGGTCCTTCACCTCCGTTAAACGTTTCTGATGTATGGGCCTAGATTTGTATAGGGTAGTATATCAAGGAGTATATAAGCTTGGCTTTCTTCTGGCTGGCTCTTAGGACTTTAACCTTTTGGGTTTTTGTAGAAACTACCATCATAAGGAGCCGAACAGTTTAACTTTTAGGAGCCCCGTTGAAGGGCCCACAGTAAGGGACCACAACTACCCTTAAACCCTAATCCAAAACCCCAAACCCCAAACCCTAAACCCTGAACCCTAAGCCCGAAACCCTAAACCCTAACCCTAAACCCTTAACCCCAAACCCTAAACCCTAAACCCTAAACCCTAAACCCTAAACCCTAAACCCTAAACCCTAAGTCCTTTTTCTAAACGCAGCCAGGGCATCTCCGACGAGGCGCCAACTCTGGTGGTGATTCGCATGCTTCTGACCTTACTCTGCTACTCTGCCTTTCGGAGATGGGGTTTAGGGTTTAGGGTTTAGGGTTTAGGGTCTTCCAATTCAGGGGGCCGGGCGTTGGGATGAAGGGCGTGGGGTTTAGGACCCCCCCCCCATTCCCACAAGCAACTGCTGCTGCCTGTCAACCTTGGTGTCTGAAAGGTTATTTCCATCGACCAGGCAGCAGACTCTATCACCTTTAAGCCCAACGTCTGGGTCCCACCACCCAAACAAACAAGCTGCAAATCCTAGACCCTGCTCGTACATGAAACCCCGCATCCTAAACCCTAAATCCCGAAACCCTAAACCCTAAACCCTAAACCCTAAGCCCTAAACCCTAAACCCTAAACCCTTAATTACTACGCCCTGAACCCCACACCCCACTTCGCAAGCCGAGGCGATCTCAAGTCGCTGGTCGCCCCACACGTGAAGGCCGAAATGCCGGTTAGTTTGGGGTTTAGGGTTTAGGGTTTAGGGTCTAGGGTTTAGGGTTTAGGGTTTAGGGTTCAGGGTTCAGGGTTGGGTTTAGGGTTCCTTGCGGACCGAACGAAACCCTGCAAAAGGGTGCGTGGTCCATGTATTTCATATCTTTTGGGGTTTATAGTTTAGGATTTCGGGTTTAGGGTTTAGGGTTTAGGGTTTAGGGTTTAGGGTTCAGCACTCCGGGTCGAGCAGCTTTATGGTTAAGCTCTATTTACGTCTCGGATATAACACCCACCCACCCAGAGAATCCCACTACATTGAGAAAGCCAAAAACGGCCAAATTCTGAAAATAAAGCGGCCAAATTCTGAAAATAAAGCGGCCAAATTCTGAAAATAAAGCGGCCAAATTCTGAAAATAAAGCGGCCAAATTCTGAAAATAAAGCGGCCAAATTCTGAAAATAAAGCGGCCAAATTCTGAAAATAAAACGGCCAAATTCTGAAAATGAAGCGGCCAAATTCTGAAGCGGCCAAATTCTGAAAATAAAGCGGCCAAATTCTGAAAATAAAACGGCCAAATTCTGAAAATAAAGCGGCCAAATTCTGAAAATAAAACGGCCAAATTCTGAAATTCAATTAGCCTTTGGCCTGATTTTGGCTCATTCTGAAAATAAAGCGGCCAAATTCTGAAAATAAAGCGGCCAAATTCTGAAAATAAAGCGGCCAAATTCTGAAAATAAAGCGGCCAAAATTTGAAAATACAATTAAGGTTTAAATATATATGGTAGAGAGGGTTTAGGGTTCAGGGTTCAGGAAGATCATGACAGGATCATAGTAGCACAGGCTGAGGTGACCCCGATTTGGGGTTCATCTGGTGTCAAAGGTTCAGGTGCCCCCACCATCACTTCCCTCTCGCTTAAACCCAAAACCCTAAAACCCTAAACCCTGAACCCTCAACCCTAAACCCTAAACCTAAACCTAAGCTCCGCCCCTGCCCAATGAAACCTGCACCTCCGACACCCTAGACCCTGGACCTTAGACCCTAAGCCCCCCTAAACCCTGAACCCTAAACCCTAAACCCTACCTGCAACCACACGGCGTCCGACCGCAGCCTCCCTGTAATCCCTTGGACCCTCGAGCAGGCAAACTCCAACCGGGCCTGCTTAACCGAAGCCCAACACAAGCACCTAAACCCTAAACCCTAGCCTACTAGACTCTGTACGCTACACCGTAAGCCCTAAACCCTAGGCCCTAAACCCTTTGTCCTTAGCCCTTAGACCTAAGCCCTAAGCCCTAAGCCCTAAGCCCTAAGCTCTAAGCCCTAAGCCCTAAGCCCTAAGCCCTAAGCCCTAAGCCCTAAGCCCTAAGCCCTAAACCCAACCCTAAACCACCCTAAGCCCTCAGCCCTATTCTTGATTCATTGCTCTTTTGAGACGACTGGGAGAGCCCACGCTCCGCCCAACCCCTATCAGCTGCTTAGGGTTCAGGGTTCAGGGTTCAGGTTCAGGGTTCCGGGTTCAGGGTTTAGGGTTTAGGGTTCAGGGTTTAGGGTTTAGGGTTTTAGGGTTTAGGGTTTAGGGTTTTTAGGGTTTAGGGTTTAGGGTTAGAGTTTTTGATCTAGGGTTCAGGGTTTAGGGTATTGTTCCCAAAGGGGTATTGCGCTTAGGGCTTCCGGTTCATTCAAACCTGTCTCGTCGGGCGAAGGTGCTAATCCCGTGCATGGAAGATCCCACTGTGGAAGCAACGGCTGCGCTTAAGGGGTTTACGGCTTAGGGTTTAGGGTTTAGGGTTTAGGGTTTACGGCTTGTTCCCTTGTTGGTATCTCTCCCTCCATCCGTCGCTCCGTCTCCCTCCCTCTCCCGCTCTCTCTCTCTTCCACTCTCTCTGCCTCTTTCTCTCTCTCGCTCGCTCGCTCTTTCCCCGGAGTTAGGGTTGTGTGGAAGGGCTTTCGGGGTTGAGGGTTTAGGGTTTAGGGTTTTGTGGAAGGGCTGGTGCTTTCAAGGGGTTGCTGTTGCAGTTACTTGGTTTGTGGAGCGTCAGCCTTGCGGGGCCCCGCTGGCCTCTGAAACAAGCTCCATCAAGTCAAACCTAAACCCTAATCCCCAATCCCTAAACCCTAAACCCTAAACCCTAAAACCCTAAAACCCTAAAGTCCTAATTTGTTAGTTCGACCGGTGGCCTTCAAGGTTACGAAATTTATATCTTTCAGGCCGAGCCACAACTTTAGGGCTTTTGCTCTTTTTTGTAGGTCTATAGGTGTTATATCAGGGTTGCGGGGGATATAGGGACCCTAAACCCTAAACCCCTAACCCTTAAACCCTAATCAAGGGTTTACAGAAGGGTTTGTCCTGCAAGCCCACCACCTCATCCGAGGACATCCGCGCCAGCGCCATCCGCTGCCTCATTGCAGCTGGCCCCGAGGTGCATCCTTGAGGTTTACGTTTTATATCGTTAGGGTTTAGGGTTTAGGTTTTAGGGTTTAGGGTTTAGGGTTTAGTGTTTAGGGTAGGGTTTAGGGTTTGGACGCTGAACCCCTCCTAAACCCACGCTGCTGTCGGGCTGCCATGAACCAAGGGCCCTCCCCTCGAACAGCTGGCAACATCACTTGACTCGCCTGAAATCACAGGGCCCTTGTTTCGTTTTTTTTTGTTTTATGATTTAGGGCTTCATGGTTGAGGGCCATGGGCAGTTCTTTAAATTTTGGTCCCTTGTTGGGGTCCCCCAAAAGGGCGTCGCTCCGAAAAACAAACCCACCAAAAAGGGACCCTAATGTAGAACCCCCCCCCCCCCTCCTTCCCATCAAAAATGTTGACCCTAAACCCTAAACCCTAAACCCTAAACCCTAAACCCTAAACCCTAAACCCTAAACCCTAAACCCTAAACCCTAAACCCAAGTTTGGGTACAAGGCTGTCGGGCCCCCAGGACTTCTCACGGATGTAGCGCTCAGACAGACCGGCCTTCGCCAGGTCGTTTCCGGCAGTGGGCTCAAGCTCCTGAGGCCTTCTGGGGAAGCAACCCTAAACCCTAAACTCCCTAAACCCTAAACCCTAAACCCTAAACAGTAGGGTTTAAGTAGGGGTTAGAGTTTGACGTTGAGGCTTTAGGGTTTGGGGTTTGGGGTGTAGGGTTTTGGGGTTAGTCCATCCTCAGCCCTCAACTGGACCACCTCAAACCTACAACCTCAACCCTCAACCCTCGGCCCAAAACGCTTCCTAAACCCGAAACCCTAAACCCTAAACCCTAAATTCGGCCTTAAGATGAGCTGAGGGGCTTGGAGAGCATGGGCCCTACTCATGCGAGAGGTGTTGGCTCGGCAACCTTCATCTCGAGTTTAGGGTTTAGGGTTTAGGGTTTAGGGGTTAGGGTTTAGGTGTAGGGTTTAGGGTTTTGGTGTTTATAGGGTTTGTCGGGTTTAGGGTTTATAGGGTCTAGGGTTCAGGGTTTTTAGGGTTTAGGGTTTAGAATACGACATGTGTATGAAGCGCACTTGGTGTAGGTGTCGCGTGACAGGGGTCAGGGCTTTTCGTTGAAGCTTGACAACTTGGTGTGTAGGCTTCAGGGGCTCGAAGTTGCCGTGAACCCTAAACTCCAGGCCCTAAACCCTAAACCCGGAACCCTAAACCCTGAAGCCTGAACCCTAAACCCTAAACCTAAACCCCAAGCCCGCACTCTGCTTCTTAGAGTGGGGGCGGGGGAAGGCTGCATGCATCTAGGAGCCGGAGCATGTCCGGCAGTCAGGGTTCAGGGTTTAGGGGGAGGGTTGAGGGTGTAGGGGAAATCCCTAAAACACCTATAAGGCAGTGTTTGTTGAACTTTCGAACCCGTGAGGAGTTTCGAATAGCCAAGAGACCTCCGAAAACCCGCAAGGAAGCGGATGGAGAGCCGCGACGTGATGCTGAGTAAGGCGGCTACTGAGGCTGGTCTCACAGGGCTTTGGTGCTCACAGGGTTCGTTCCCCAGCCTTCACACCCCAAACCGGAAAACCCAAACACTCGGCCGCCCGTAGGTTTTGAGGGAGTTTCGAGTTTCGAGCTTAGGGTCAAGGTTGGAAAGGAACTTATAGGGAGTTTATAGGGAGTTTACAGGGAGTTGGTGGGTTCATGATAAGGTTCGTAGGGCTTGTAAACCCTAAACCCTAAACCCTAAACCCCTTTGTGCAAACGCAGCCATGCCCGAAGTCGAGTTGGGCGGGGGGGGGGGGGGATCGGCTTCGGAGGCTTTAGGCTTTGGGTTTTGACGATCTAAGGGTACCTTAACAGGGTTTAGGGTTTAGGGTTATTATATACCCCTTATATACCCTATACAAATTAGGGGCCCATACATCAGAACCCTTTGAAGGGGGTTCGGGGCCCATGAAACTACCCTGGTTCAGGGTACCCGAAAACCGAATCCGGATCCCCCATGAACCCTAAACCCTAATAAGCCGGAGCCAGAACCCCACCCACCCCCGCCCCAGAAAACCCTCTCTGAACCCTGAGCTGCAGCACAGCCGACAGAATAGCTGGTCTGTGGTTTAGGGTTTGGGGTTTAGGGTTTAGGGTTTAGGGGTTAGAGTTTAGGGTTTAGGGTTTAGGGTGGTTGAGGGTCACTCGTATAGGCCGGGTACAGTAGCTATCTTTGGTGCAGATTCTGGCTGCGCGGGTGATGATGGCCGTGACATGGGCCGACACGAGAGTTTGGGTTTAGGCCAGAGGGTTTGTGCAGCCCTACTAACCCTAAGCATGACCCCTCCCCCAATATCTCCTAAACCCCAATAGCTGAAAACCCTGCGCAAAGCTGAGTTTTCGAGGTCTTGAGCAGCTCCCATGCGAATTTACAGGGTTTGGAAAACCTAAACCCTAAGCCCTCAGCCCTAAACCCTAAACCCTAAACCCTAAACCCTAAACCCTAAACCCTAAACCCTAAACCCTAAACCCTAGAAGAGAGCACCAACCCGCGCAGGTACTGAGAGGGCTAAGCCCGCACAACCCGGTCATCGCTGCTTCCCGGCTTTACCTTTCTTGTGGCAGGGAGAGGGTTTTCGGGTTTAGGGTTTAGGGTTTAGGGTTTAGGAATAGGCTCGGGCCATCCTAATATTAAGAACCCCCGAAACCTCGGTTTAGAGTTTAGGGTTTAAGGTTTCTTTGTAGGTTACCTAGTCACCTAAGAATCCCATGAGGGGTTTTAGAGTAATAGCTTAGCTTGAGGGTTTAGGGTTTAGGGTTTAGGGTTTAGGGTTTAGGGTTTAGGGTATAGGGTTTAGGGTTTAGGGTTTAGGGTTTAGGGTTCAGGGTTTAGGGTTTAGGGTTTAGGAAGAATCTACAAGAAAAGTAGGTTTAGGGAGCTTAGGGAGGAATCCTAAACCGATGTAGTAGCCTGGAGCTTGATGGTCTCGGTGATGGGTGCCAGCCAGCCAATCCAGCAAAGAGGGCAAGATGATTCCTCAACCCGCGAGCCTGAAACTGCAGTTTAGGGTTTAGGGTTGAGGGTTTAGGGGTTTAATTAGGAGTTTAGGGTTTAGGGTTTAGGGTTTAGGGTTTAGGGTTTAGGGTTTAGGGTTTAGGGTTTAGGGCCCTGCGATTAATAGCCTCTGCACAGCCCTGATACCTCCTGGTTTGGGTTCGTAGCTTGCGCTGATTTTTCTTGTGGCGCAGGAGACTGTTCAGCATTTTACCTAAAAAGGGCTTTGGCTCCGTGATCCAAATGGCCCAGTGTAGTAGAGGGTGTCCCTGATGTAACGCAACCTACCTGAGCCGGACCTACCATGCATGGAACTGAAGTCGAGTACTTGGATGAAGGGAACCTAAGCCAGCGCTCTCTTCGGTGCCTTAAACATTTTAGGGTTCAGCGTTTGGGGTGAGGGCTCTTCATGATAGCAAATTCAGGGAGCATATTTTGGAGACCTGCCCCAGCAATAGCCGGCTATCTCGATATCGCGGTCCTTCCTCGGAACCCTACTGGACGTAACAGTATAGAGTTGTCTTAACCCTAAACCCTAAACCCTAAACCCTAAACCCTAAACCCTAAACCCTAAACTGCGGACCGTGTTTTTTTCTCGGAGCTTTCTCGCTTCCAGGACGAAAAAACTGCGCTCTCGCCTGGGAGGGGCGTGGCCGTCCTCAAAACTGTACAACGCTTAGGGTTTGGGGTTTAGGGTTTAGGGTTTAGGGTTTAGGGTTTAAGGTTTAGGGTTTAGGGGGGTTGAGGGTTTAGGACTTCTGTGCTCACGAAGTGCGAAACTGTTGTCGCTTTTGGATGCCCGGGCTCGAGATATGGCAAAGTGTCGTCAATTTCACTGGCAGTTTTAGACGTTTACTTTTGAGGCCCTTTGTACAACTCGAACCCTCAAACCCATAACCTCCGGCCTAACCATCCCTCCACTAAACCCTAAACCCTAAACCCTAAACCCTAAACCCCCTCCCCCCCCCGTCCCCCTCAGAGTTACGACCTGTCCATCCCAAGGGGACCATCGGCCACTTCATTGAATTGGGGGAGTCGGCGGTTCGGGGGGGAGGGGGGCTTTGATGCTCTTGCAAGGGCTTCGGAATTCGGCTGTAGGCTTGCGGCCTGGGGTTTGGGGGTTTAGGCCCCTCAGGGCCGGAGATTGAGCTGTTTTTGAGTCCGAAAGCAAGGAGCGCAAAGAGGCTGACAGCCCATCAGCAAATGCCGACCACAGTACGCGAGGCCTGTTTTTGAAGCTCTTAGATGGACTCTTGCCTCATTCAATGGCAATTGGAACTCTGTGCTGAAGAACCCCTCATATAAGGGTATTATAGGGATTATCATCTTTCCTTTTGTGGATGGGGGGGTGGGGGGTTGAGCAAATAGTTGTGCATGCTAGCTTTGTGCCTCTGCAAATTGTGTCCGTGCTTCTATTTACTCTAGCAAGTTCAGATCTCGGCTTTTTCTCGGACGTTGGTTTTTGTGGCATCTGCTCACACCTTCTCTGCTGCCTCATGCGAGTTCCAAATTCTTAGATGGGTTACCCCGCATTATTTGTTGTTGCCGCACGTGAGTCCCCTTTTCCGTTAACCCAAAACCCTAAACTCTAAACCCAACCAATCCTTGTCTTGGGCCTCGTCTTGGGCCCAAGGAGGTCTTGCCCCAGGCCCTGACGTGCCCTAAACCCTCTCGAAACCCGAAACCCCTCACGCCCTGCACCCTAAACCCCCTACACCCTATAAAGCTCACTAAACCCTATAAAACGCACCTCCCCCTAAACCCTAAACCCGAAACTCACCTCATCGAACCTGAGGACAGGTTTTGTGGGAGGAGCCTCAGGCAAGTCCTTGGGCAGGGGAGTTGCGTGACGGGTTTGGGGTTTAGATTTCAGGGTTGCATGCTTAGAGATTGAGGGTTTAGGGCTATAAATGTAGTTCCTTGTGGAGTTAGCGGCAGGCTTGGGGGGATGAGCGTATGCTACCCGAAGCCCTAAACCCTAAACCTTAATTGTAGATGGCTACTACATCCCTAAACCCTAAACCCTAAACCCTACACCCCAAACCCCAAACCCCAAACCCTAAACCCTTAACCCTAAACCCTAAACCCGACCGTAAACTGCAGGCCTCAGACCCGAAACCCGAAAGTGAAAACCCCGTGCTCCCGGTGTCTAACCCGATTCAGGGCGAGTGTGCAGGTCGCCCTTCGCTCGTGTACACAAAGCGCTGTTTAGGGTTTAGGGTTTAGGGTTTAGGGTTACCGGGTTACCGGGTTTAGGGTTTAAGGTTTACGGCCTTAGGGTTTATTGTACCCCAACAACACCGATCGTCTTTCAAGTCATAGTATGAAGTCGACCTGCCTTACTTGGGCAGCGAAGGCCGGCATGTTTTTGGAGCTCAGGCGCCTACTAGCCCACCACATTCACGATGGTACTCGTAGCACTGAAACATGTAGCTTCGACGTGCTGGCGCCCGCTGCACGGGCCCTGGAAGAGATACTCACGGCCATACAGAATGGGCAGTTCCTTCCAGACGCTATGCGTTCACAGCAATTTCGGGGAAAGCCTTCAGCAACAGCCTTCTGCATTTTGTGCAAGCCTGGGCCAACTTTGGGAGCCGCAAGCCCTGAACCCAACACCCGAAACCCTAAGCCCAAGTCCCAAACCCTAAGCCCGGGTTTGGGACTTTTAGGGTTTAGGGTTTAGGGTTTAGGGTTTATTAGGGTTTATTCGGGTTTAGGGCAAACCCCGGACCCCAATCCCCGACAAATCACCGATGTAGGTAGGCAGGGTAGCCCTAAACCCTAAACCCGAAACCCTAAACCTGGGCTCCTTTTTTCGCCATGCTTTCGGACGCAGGACACACTGCCAGAGACGATGCGACAGCGAAGCCTCGCCGGGAGCTCGGGGGGTTCGGATGCTGGATTCTTTCTTTCCATGCAGGAAACTGAGGGTTTGGGGTTTAGGGTTTAGGGTTTAGGGTTTAGGCTTCAGGGAGCTTTTTGGGTTTAGGGTGTAGGTCTTAGGGTCCAGAGTGAGCCCCCTCCCATTGATGTCCTGATGGTACCCTACTCGTCATGGCTGTTTCATGTCGATGCGGTGCTGTGCTGCATGGTTATGGTGTTCTGCGATAACCATACAAAGGGAATCCCCATCTCGCCTCCACAACCCAAAGCCTGAATTTCAAGCCCTAAACCCATGGTTAATGAGAAGGACGCATTCACCCACTCACTCACTCCCTCACCCCCTCACCCCCTCACCCCCTCACCCCCTCACCCCCTCACCCCCTCACCGCCCCCCCTCCCCGCTCTCCTTTACCACCCCTAACCGCCCCGAACCCCCCCCAACCCCCGAACCCCCCGAACCCCCAACCCCCTAGCCACCCTAACCCTGCCACGCCCCCTCCCCCCACGGCCCCCACGAGCCAGGTGCTTACCCTTCTGGGTGGCTCCGGCGCCAACGCCCCTCCCAAGCAAGCGTATGCGGATGGTTCGGCTTCGAAGCTTCTTCGGGATATTAGGGTTTAGGGCTTATAGGGTTTAGGGTTTAGTGTTGAGGTTGTTGGAGTTTAAGAGGGGGTTGTTGGGGTCTAGGGCCGAGGGCTTAGGGGGGTGGGGGGAGCTATTGGGTTGTGATTGGGATTTACGGTTCTTGGGGTTTAGGGCTATGAGGGTTTGGGGTTCAGGCTTCTGCGCTTTTCTTCGTGTGGGGTTTGTATAGGTCAACAGGGCTTAGGACCTGCGTCCCAGGGCTTCAAGGGGTTTAGGGTTTAGGGTTTAGGGTTTAGGGTGTTTGCGGGCTTCTGGGGCTTTAGGTCGGGCTCCAGGAAGTTTCACCCACCCCAATCCTGGTTCGGGGGCCACAACTACCAAGGTAACCACTATTTGCTTGAGAACCCCTGCAACAGCGCAAGATAATCCCTTTAGAAAAAAACATATATATATATATATATAGATGTGTGTCCCTTATAAGGAAGAATATGTTTTTAATTTTAACGCTACGCCTCGGCCTGGCCAAATGCAGCTGCCGGAGAGGGACACAGGGCAACACTCTGGAGCTTTGGGTTTTACAGCTGTACACAATTTCAGGACAGACTTCCAGTCATACGCTCTAAACCCTAAACCCTAAACCCTAAACCCTAAACCCTAAACCCTAAACCCCTTCAACCTTTTCAGTCCAGTAGGGTGAACAGCCCAGGCGAAGAAGTTCCTGGAACACATCGCCCGCTCCTGGATCCGAGTGAGTTGGGTCTGGAGGTTGAGGGGTTTAGGGCTTTAAGGGGTTTAGGGTTGAGGGTTTAGTGTTTAGGATTTAGGGTTTAGGGGCTTAGGGCTGCTTCAGCCCCCAGACTAGTGAAAGGCATGGTCGTTTCTTTGGAGCCCTTGGTCCAAAGACCCTAGTAGTGTTATGTGGGCTGATGCCGACACATGAAGCTTTCTCGATGAAGCTATGCTGCACATCTTGGCTTGAGTTCGTTGAGGCTCAAATTTCATGTCATCACCCATCTCAATGTCCGAGCCCTTCAAGACGCAAACCGTTACAAACAAGCCCTGATAGTGCCAAGACCCTAAACGCTTCAAGGTCCCCCCCCCCCCTTCCCTCCGCCAGCCAAGACCTACAAACCTTGTTGCTGCTCACGCCAGCACATCCCCCAAAGGCTTGATTTTACGGTGAGAGGCGTTGCCCTAAACCCTAAACCCTAAACCCCAAACCCCAAACCCCAAACCCCAAACCCTAAACCCTAAACCCTAAACCCTAAACCCTAAACCCCAATCTCGGAGCCCGAAGCCCGACGCCCGAAGCCCTAGTCCCCAGTCTCAAGGCCCTTTCGTCCGCAACCCATTTCCTACGCAGTAAAAGAAGCAGGTTTCGTTTACAGGGCTTAGGGTTGAGGGTTTTTGGTTTTAGGGTTCAGGGGTCCGATCCCGCCCTACAACCCGAGCACCCTAGAACGACAGTAAGCACCCAAAACCCCACACTCCGACACAAAACGCCTCAACGCCCTAAGGATCCCTAGAAACCCTCAACCCCACCCCAAACCTAAAAAAATGACTAAGCCCTAAACCCTAAACCCAAACCCCAAAGTCCCTAAACCCTAAACCCAAACCCAAAAGTCCCTAAACCCTAAACCCTGAACCCTAAACCCTAAACCCTAAACCCCAAACCCCAAACCCTAAACCCTAAACCCTAAACCCTAAACCCTAAACCCTAACCCCCCCCCCCCCCCCAAAGAAGTTGGCCCAAGGAGAGATGGAGGCCACCGACTTCAAGGTGCGACGCGCGGCCATGGAGGCTTTCGTGGACCTCAAGGTGCCGAAGTGGGAGGGTTTAGGGTTTAGGGTTTAGGGTTCAGGGTTTAGGGTTTAGGGTTTGGGGTTTGGGGTTTGGGGTTTGGGGTTTAGGGTTTGCGGTTTGGGGTTTGGGGTTTAGGGTTTAGGGTTTAGGGTTCAGCATCTCGACTCAAGCAATTACTCGAGCGTTGGAAACATGCCCACCCGCCCAAAGAATCCCATAGCATTGAGAAAGTGCCTCACTTGCATTTTCATTTTCAGGCGACAAGACAGACAACATTCTGAAACCCACCACAGAGAATCACAATTTGCTTACTGTCGCACTGTATAGGGTCAAATTTTGCCTAGTGTCCCACTATTTAGGGTCTAAATTTGCTTAGTGCCCCACAATACACGAGGTCAAACATTTGCTTAGTGCCCCACTTTCCAGGATCTAAACGACCCTAAAAGCCAGCCCAGAGTACGTAGGCCAAACCCTAAGGCCAGCCCAGAGTAAGCCCAGAGTAGCTCAAGCCAGCCCAGACTAGAGCCCAGAGTAGGCACTGCCCGAAAGCCAGCCCAGAGTAGGCGAACCATACACCTGGCTAGAGTTGAACCCTAAAGCCAGCCCAGAGTCGGCCTACAGCGTAGGCCCTGAATCCTGAAACCAGCCCAGAGTGGGCCCTGAACCTCAAAGCCACTAAACCCTAAAACCTTAGGCCCTGAACCCTAAAACCGAGCCCCAAACCCTGAACCTTCGTACCTGAGAAATCTGGCAGCTATGACTTCAATGGGTACTTCAAGCAGCAAGTGCATTTCCAAGCCGTTCTGGCCTTGGCGCACAACTTGCAGAACCTCGAGGTCTACGACGAATTCCGGGAGGGGGGTGCAATGCAAACGTCGATTTTCTAGACGACGGGTACAATGCACCGACGGCAGTTGGCCTCAACCGACAGCTTGACGCTCATGATCCTGAACGCGCAGAAGAAATTTCTGCACCAAAGCGAAGGTCGCAGCCCAGAGTAGGCCCTGAACCCTAAAGCCAGCCTAAAGGCCGTCTAGGCCCCTAAACCCTAAACCCTAAACCCTAAACCCTAAACCCTTTTGGCTTTAGGAGCTGTCGGGTTGGGTTTGGGGCGTTTAGGGTTTAGGGGGGTTTCGGGTTGTGGGTCCTGGGGTACGTTCAGTCAGAATCCTTCGCGTGTTAGGTGCGGGTGTAGGCGGGAAAACTGTCATAGAGTTGCGCTCTTGTGACAAGTCCCCTTCTGCAGCAGTGCTACAGGTCAGTAGGGACCTTGTTGTATCCACCCGATGTAAGCCTTCACAGGATTTAGGTAGGGTGTAGGGTATACCTAATTCCCTTTTCCCGGCTTGGAACCACGAAGCATCACCGCGACAGGAGCATGCTCTGCCAGCTAGCATCTTCTGCAGCATATTACGAGGTAGTTTGTGTTTTAGGGTTTGGGGTTAAGGGTTTTAGGGGCAGGACCTCAGAGGTGCACTTGGTGGCTCGGACCTCTGGGAGAAACTTCGTAGAACCCGTGGGTTACACTTCCAGCTGCCTACAGCAAGAGGCATGGCAGTTTTCTCTTAAGCCCTAGGAACCTTGAGAGCTCGAAAACCCTCAACCCTCAACCGTATGAACCCCACCAGGAGAGGGGTGCACTTATGAGGCCCTTTCCGTTAGGGCTTTAGTGTTCATTTTCAGATGTTGATGCGTGTAGAAAGGGTCCTTATATTGGTGCCTGCTGACGAGAGGCTTCAAGCAAGAACCCATAGCCCGGCATTGAAGTTCAACTGCTTCGGGGTCCGGCTTAGGAGTTGCCCGGCTTGTTTTGGGGTTTAGGTTTGAAGTGTGTAACCCGGCCACCCTAAATCCCTAAAACGCTGAACCCCCTAAACCCTGCACCCCCTCAACCTAAACCCTAAACCCTAAACCTTCAGTAATCCCTAAATCCCCCTTGAGCCCTGAAGCCCCATCATCCCATGAGTTCCCCTAGAGCCCCTAAAGCCCTCTGTCATCCCTATAGGTTTTTGGGTTATAGGGTTATAGGGTTTAGGGTTTAGGGTTAACCCTCAAGGCCCTAAACCCTAAATCCCCCCCCCCCCCCCAAGTCTCTTAGGTTCGAACCAAGGGCCTTTCGTAGGTCCCCCACCCTTCGTTAGAGAGATCCGAAGTGTGGACCCTTACTCCTTACTATATAAATATAAATAAATAAATAAATAAATAAATAAATATATATATATAGATATTCATGTAGTGTATATAGGGGCTACATTACAGGGACCCAAAGTAAGGGCCCATCCATGGGCTCCCCTAAACTCACCGAGGTGCCGAGATTGCGAAGCGGCTCATCCACGCAGACCCGCTGGTGAGACGGCTGACGGTGGAGTGCGTTCAGCTCATGGGTGCCTTCGGCCCTAAACTCCTTCAGTGGGGGTTTGCAAAAATAGGGGGGACCCCCCTAAAATAGACCCCAAAATAGTAGGACCCCCTTAGTGAGGTACCCCGAATGTCGGAAACACCCCCCACCCCCCCCCCCAATTCTAGATGGATCTTGAGGTGACCTACTTTGCTTGAGACCACCCCCCCCCCCCCCCCATAAATTAAGACTTAAAAGGGTCAAATGGGGATTCTTATCCTTTATTTTGTGGGGCTTCTGAAGCGAATAGTGGAAAACGTGTATATATAGATATGTAAAGCACCCGCATTCCCTACTAAGAACCAGAAAGTGGGCCCTTAAAGGCTGTTGTTTCTTTGGGCTGGTTGCAGATGTTGTTAAAAAAGACGTTTTTTTTGTAAGGTATAGACCTTAAAGATGATGTGTGTAAGTGGGTTTATGAGGGGGTTTGAGGCTTAGGGGGTTTCAAAGGGGGTTGCAAAGAAGTTTGAAGCACTGAGCCCGAGGCAGCTAAAACCCTAAAACCCTAAAACCCTAAAACCCTAAAACCCTAAAACCCTAAAACCCTAAAACCCTAAAACCCTAAAACCCTAAAACCCTGAAACCCTGAAACCCTAAAACCCTAAAACCCTAAAACCCTAAAACCCTAAAACCCTCAACCCTAAACCCTAAACCATGAACCCTAAACCCTAAACCATAACACCCCGCAGCTCTTCAGGTGGGCTTGGGGGAGTCTCCTGCTTGATATTTGGGGGTAAAGTAAAACCCAAAAACCCTGGCCTGAAGCCCTTGAGGGGTCTAGGGTTTAGGGTATAGGGTTTAGGGTATAGGGTTTAGGGTTTAGGGTTTAGGGTAACCTCAAAAACCTTGAACTTATAACCCATAATCCCAAGGTCGTACACCTTACAAGGCTGCTGGAGGGCTTCAAGGAGGCTTAGGAGGTTCAGGGTGTTCGGGAATAAACCCTCTAAACCCTGAACCTTCAACCCTAAACCCTTAACCCTAAACCCTAAACCCTAAACCCTTAACCTTCGTCGGTGGCCCAGGCCCCTACGGCGCCAAGATGCTTCCTCGGGCTCCCAGGATGCATGTTGGGGGTTTACCGGGTTTAGGGTTTAGGGTTTAGGGTTTAGGGTTTAGGATTTAGGGTTGAGGTTTAGGGTTTAGGAAAAAGGCTTGGGTTTAGGGGCTTTGGGTTTAGGGCTCAAGGCCTAGGGCTTAGGGCTTAGGGCTTAGGGTCCTGATTCAAAGGCTAGGTGTGGCTTGCAGTCATGTAAAAGGGGTTCTGTGAGGCATCAGGGCAGAGGACGCGACTTCAGAAGCCCTAGGATCGCGGAAGAGCCATCACCCCTAGATCTCTCCATCCTTGCGTCTCCAACATGTTCTTTGGGCTTTAGGGCTTTATGGTTTTAGGGGTTTAAGTCTTAAGGTTTAGGGTTTAGGGTTTTAGGGATTCGGTAGCTAAACCCTAAACCCTAAACCCTAAACCCTGGGCACTTGGATTTTTGTGGGCATGTTCTCCTCAGTGTGGGTTAATTGGGGGTTTAGGGTTTAGGGTTTAGGGCTTAGGGCTTGAGGGCGTTTACCGGGAGGCCGCCCCACCCCCCCCCACCCCACTGCATCTGAGATAGCCATGAGGATGGCTCTTAGAAGAGCACCCTAGCTCCTCAAAGCCTAAACCCTAAACCCCAAACCCTAAACCCTAGAACCTTGCCCTGCCCACTCCTAAACTCCAGGTCAAGGGCCTTCTCGACACCGAAGAGGATCCCGACGTGGTCCACGCGGCGAAGACGCTCAAGCTGCGAAGATGGTTCGTTCAGGGTTTAGGGTTTAGGGTTTAGGGTTTAGGGTTTAGGGTTTAGGGTTTAGGGTTTAGGGTTTAGGGTTTAGGGTTTAGGGTTTAGGGTTTAGGGTTTAGGGTTTAGGGTTTAGGGTTTAGGACCGGATTTCAGGGTTGGGGTTTGCAGAGTTTTGGGATTTCAGTGCGAGGGTGTACGGATTAGGGTAATCCCAGGTTTCAGGCTTTCAGGTTTTGGTTTAGGTATTTCCGGGTAGAGAGTATTTGGTGCTTTATGTGTGGAGGGCCTGTGAATTCAGGAGGAGGCTTCGTCATAGTTTAGGGTTTATTCATTTGTTGTCCGTGTTTCCTCCCTGTTGAATTGGGCCATGGTTGAGAAAAGAAAGGTTTGAAGGGGTTTTGGTTGACTGACGGTATGTCTAAGCCCCTAAACCCTAAACCCTAAACCCTAAACCCTAAACCCTAAACCCTAAACCCTAAACCCTAAACCCTAAGCCCTAAGCCCTAAGCCCTAAGCCCTAAGCCCTAAACCCTAAACCCTAAACCCTAAACCCTAAACCCTAGCCTGTTGCAGCGAGGCGCGCGCTCGAGGGCAAGAACGGCGTGGCGTCGGAAATGCTATCCAAGCTTCCCGGCGAGAAGGGCAGAGGAGTTCCCCCCTCCCCGAACCCGAAACAAGCAGGCCTCCAAACCCTAAACCCTAAACCCTAAACCCCAAGCCCTAAACCTCAAGCCCTAAACCCTAAACCCTAAACCCCAAACCCCAAACCCCAAACCCTAAACCCTAAACCCCCCAAAACCCCAGCCTTCAATCCGAATCTCGCAACACCTCTGGCATGAAACCCAAGACCCGAAGCCCAACCTCTCAGGCCCCGGCGTGCCAGCATCGGCGCGCGCCGCGGGGGCCCTCAGATGATTCCGGGTTTAGGGTTTAGGGTTTAGGGTTTAGGGTCCAAGGTTTAGGCTTTAGGCTTCAGGGTCTAAGTTTTTGGGTACATAGCTTCAAGTTTGTGGGCTGTTGACCCTACAAAGTAGTGAGGACTTGGGGCCCAGCTAAGGTCTTCAAAGTTCGAAAAGTCTAAAACACCCTAGACCTTCGAATAAACTCTTAAGTCTTAAGCCCCACAGATCCATACTGCCTAGATCTCAATATCCCTCAAGCCCTAAGCCCTACCCTAAATCGTTACAACCCATCACCACAGTCGTCACGTATGATTTCAGATGGAGGGCCAATGTCGTCCTAAACCCTAAACCCTAAACCCTTAATTCTAAACCCTAAACCCTAAACCCTAAACCCTAAACCCTAAACCCTAAACCCTAAACCCTAAACCCTAAACCCTAAACCCTAAACCCTAAACCCTAAACCCTTACGCAAGCTGAGATGGGCCCCTTGGTCCATAATGGGTTTACAGTAAACTCCAGAAAGTTGGAACATGGTTTAGGGATGATTGGAGCTGGGATTCCCTTTAGTATACCGTTTGGGGGTATGGGGATAAGGATGTTCCAATCTTTTTGGAGTTTACGGTAGCTGAGAGTCCACTGTGACTGCCAGCCTGCCCTGGGTGCTACAGGGAGCCCCAAACCCTAAACCCTAAACCCTAAACCCCGAACCTGCGCACCCCCACCATCTGCTGCTGACATGCCCAGCTACAAAGCCATGTAGAGCCTTATCACCTTCAGTCAGTGCGAAAAGCCTGCTTGAAATTTGACGACCCGGCAATGCTTCGGCAACGAGTATGTAGGGTTTAGGGTTTAGGGATAGGGGTTTAGGGTTTAGGGTTTAGGGTTTAGGGTTTAGGGTTTAGGGTTTAGGGTTTAGGGTTTAGGGTGCGACAACGGCGCACCTCGGAATGCGGCAGTAGCCGAACACAGTGAGCCTATTACAGTTGCTGCGTCGTATTTGTGTTTCTGTGTTTCTGTTTGCTCCCTTCTTATCCACCCACTTGTACCTGTGATAAACAGGGCTTCATGGCACGTAGGCCTGACGGCGGTTGGGCACACAAGCCCTGTTGCCAGCCGGGTGCCGCGCTTTGGGTGAATCTCACGCGCAAACCGACCGGGAAAGTGGGCTGCGGCCCATCATTCCCACGTGCCAACGGCACGCCCATGCGATAACATAGACCCCCACCAACCCCCTTTCACCCTCTTTCCCTTCTGAAGTTAAGGTCCCATCAAGCCCTTGCATAGTCTTGGTTTACAACCCTGAACCCCTAAAGACACCCCTGAATGCCTAAACCCTAAACCCTTAACCCAAGGGTCTCCTAAACCCTGAACTCTAAACCCTAAACCCCAAACCCTTCACGATCCCGCGCCTTTTGCCCTTAAGAATCCTTGTCAGGTGCCAGCCTCAAGTCGCAGCGCAGGCAGCAGGGTTTCGGTCTTTTTTTGGGCGTTCAGGTAAGTTTATGCCCTGAACCCGAAACCCGAAATCCTAAACCCTAAACCTTAAACCCTAAACCCTAGCCCTAAACCCTAAACCCTAAACCCTAAACCCTAAACTGCTGTAGTCTACCAAGAGAGTAGCGTAGGGTGTGCTTACGGTAGGGGAGGAATCCTTCGACTCGCCGGGCCCAAAGACTCTAGGACCCTAGAACCCTAGGTTTAGGGTTTAGGGTTTAGGGTTTAGGGTTTAGGCGGTTTAGGGTTTAGGGTTTAGGGTTTAGGGTTTAGGGTTTAGGGTTTAGGGTTTAGGGCAAACCCTTGACCCTTGAACCCTGAACCCCTTAACACCCTAAACACCTCAGATCCTAAGCTTCTTTAACCCTAAACCCAAAACCCACCACTTTGTCCCTAAACCCTAAATACTTAAACCCTAAGCCCCTTCAAGCCCTTAAACCACTTAAACCCTTAAAAGCGTTTAGGGCGACGTTTTGTCTCACAAGCCCCGTTACCTCTGCGTTTAGGGTAAGTTTAGGGGGTGTATTGTTTAGAGCCCCATCCCTCAACACCCACACGAGCCCCCAATGCTCTTCGGCCCCCCAGAAGCCCTGAAGGTGTGGTTGTTCAGGGTTTAGGGTTGGGGGGTTTTAAAAACCCTGAACCCGAAAGTTTATGGCTTTCTGGCCACCAGGAGCTGCCTGTGGCATAGGTTAAGGGGTAAAGGAGGGACCCCTAGAAGGGACCCTTCATCTTCTTGCCCTCTGTAACCCTTATATTTACCTTCTATAGTCCTCATATACCTAAGTAGCCTCCAAGTAACCCCTAAAGAACCTCTAAGGTCACTTATGAGGATCCCTCCTTTAGTCCCTTGGATAGGGGTCCCCCAGCCATGGCTCTCGCCAGGGGCGGCGTGGACACGGGCAAGACGTGAGGCGATGTCCTAGAGTCCTCAAGTGCTCAACAACCCTAAACCCCAAACCCTAAACCCTAAACCCTAATCCCTAAACCCTAAACCCTAATCCCTAAACCCTCAACCCTAAACCCCTAAACCCATATGCATGCGCCGCCATTGCAGGAGGGTCCTGCGAAGCAGGCTTTCCCAGGCTTCAGAAGCCCAGAGTCTCGTGCACCTCCCAGCACCCTTGGTTTGCATAGGGTTTAGGGTTTAGGGTTTAGGGTTTCACTCACCACCAAAGAAGCACCCCATACCCCTAAGGGGCAGCTTTGTTGAACCAAAAAAGACCGAGGCCCTTGAGAGCAAGATCTCCGTTCCGGTGTTTTTAGCCGTATCTGCTGGGACCGCCTTGTTCACTAGGTTTCACTCGAATTAGGCGCAATATACGCATTCCCAAGAAAAGCAGCGTTTTCCCAGAGGCCAGTGGGCACACCGATGGTAAGTCTCTGAACCCGTTTAGGTAAATCCGACACCCTCAACACGTTTTTCCCACTCCTCAAACAAAGGAACAGGGCCTTCGCCTAGGTAGCTCAAGCCCTTTGAAACCTTAAGCATAAGACTGGGGGGGGGGAGGTTCCAACCTCGAAAATCTGTATGCTTTCCTCCCATGTTTATATAAACACCTAAACCCTAAACCCTAAACCCTGAACAATCAATCCTCAGAAGAGGCTTTGAGGCCCCCGCAATCCCCTTCATCCGCGAAGTCTTGGCCCGGAAGGCACCAGAAAAAAATCATAGTTTAAGGGCTTGCAGAGCGTTCTGTGTTTTAGGGGTTTAGGCTTTAGGAATTTAGGGCTATACATAGGGTTTAGCGTTTGAGGGCTTAGGGTTCTATATAGATTTTGGAGTTTCAGGGTTGTTGTGTTTTATACTTTTAGGGGGTTTACACACCCTAGACCCTAAACCCAACTCTTGCCCAGAGAGTGTTGGTCTTCAGGGGGACTCATGGACTTCCTGAACCCTTGAACCCCACCCCCCCACCCTCACCACCCAACCCCTGCCCTCACCCTCACCCCCCCCACCCCCTTCCCACCCCCCCCAACCCCCTCCTAAAAACCCTGAAACTCTCAAATCCGCGCTGAAAACCGGAACCCGAACCTGCAGCTGTTCAGGGTCCAAAGGGTTGAGGAGCCTAAGCCCTGTAAGCCATAAACCCAACTTCGGGCTCTTCTATCTACTTCTGACCATGAAGCCCGCCTCCCTGACTACCACGTGGGCCATGGCAAGTGCTGTTGAGGGTTAGAGTTTAGTACTTAGGCTTTAGGGCCGTTTGGGGGTTTGGGTTAAGGGCACAAGAATGCCCACATGGGTAGAGCCAGCGAACGCCTCTGAGCCCCGTTTCCCTAACATCCGCGCTTCACAGAGCCTCATGGCTGCGGCGGAGCGGAACGATCCGAAGGCCCCCCCGTGGCCAGGGGTGTTGAGCTGGGTGCTCCCTGTTTCAACCCTAAACGCCAAGTTCATCCGTCTCTTCATTGTGTTCATTTCATCTCTCGTTTTATAACGCAAAGCCTGATGGAAATTATAAGCATAATGAAGGGCCCAAAGAAAAGAGATTAAACATGGGGCCCGTACACTCCCTACGAAATAGGTCCATTGAATGAACGCCAGAATTCTTGAAAAAAGACAGAGGCTATTGTTCTATTAACTGTTAGAAAGACGTTTAGTAATCTTGTTCACTTAGCTGTGCAAAATGCTAAATCCTTATTCTTATCAGCCGTTTGTGTATTCACTTCTTTTCTTTCAGTCGTTTACCACTTTCTTCATTTATAAACATAATAGATGGGGATTCTTTTGATCCCAGCTTGACCGTGAGGGTTGAGGGTTTATAGGGACCCTAAACCCTAAACCCCAAACCCCAAAACCTAAACCCTAAACCCTAAACCACCTAGAGGTGTTCGGGATCTCGGTCCCTCTAACTCTAGGGCCCTAAACCGCAGCCCTAAACCCGAAACCCTCAGCTCTAAACCCTAAACCCTCAGCTCTAAACCCTAAACCCTAAACCCTAAACCCTAAACCCTAAACCCTAAACCCTAAACCCTAAACCCTAAACCCTAAACCCTAAACCCTAAACCCTAAACCCTAAACCCTAAACCCTAAACCCTAAACCCTAAACCCTAAACCCTAACCTAAACCCTAAACCCTAAACCCTAAACCCTAAACCCTAAACCCTAAACCCTAAACCCTAAACCCTAAACCCTAAACCCTAAACCCTAAACCCTAAACCCTAACCCTAAACCCTAGCGGCCCTTCGACCATCCTTGGGCCGCAAAATCGCAGGTCATCAAAGCCGTCGTGAAGGGGCTGGAGAGCCGGGACGAGGCAGCATGTCGCTTTTTTGGGGCTTAGGGTTTAGGGTTTAGGGTTTAGGGTTTAGAGTTTAGGGTTTAGGGTTCAGGGTTTAGGGTTTAGGGTTAGGGTTTAGGGTTTAGGGGGCTGCTGTCGTAGACGGCAGGTGCAACCTTCTTTTTTTTTAAGGGGCAGCTGCAGATGATTTGGGAAGATCCACCCGAAGCCCTAAACTAAAACTCTCAACCCTGAAAGGCTAAACCTAAGGTCTCCGGTGCCAGGTCCTGGGCTCCAGAGAGTTTTGTAAGCTTCACGTGACTCAAGGGTTTAGGGTTTAGGGTTTAGGGTTTAGGGTTTAGGGTTTAGGGTTTAGGGTTTAGGGTTTAGGGTTTAGGCGCAGGAGATGTCAGCCTGTCAGAAACATCTCGGCCGGGGCGGGGGGGGGGGGGGGGGGGGGGGGGGAGGGTCGGCGTAAACCCTAAACCCTAAACCCTAAACCCTAAACCCTAAACCCTAAACCCTAATTCTGTGATGAGGCGTTCAGGCTGTTTCGGGTTCGGGGCTTAGATTTCTGGGTTTTTGGTCTTTCTTCCCTACCATGTTGCTGGACCATCAGGCCTTTTAGCTTCCAAAAGTGCTTCAACAGCCCGTAAAAACCCTACAACCCCCCTTAACTCCGCTCCGCCAAAACCCAATCACCAAATGCTCAAAGCATCACCTTCCCATGCACCCTTATCCTTTTCTTAGGGAGACGTGGGCCCCTTCTCTTAGGGATAAGGGGCCCCGCTATCAATCCCAAACCAGGACTTTCCTATACTGTCGCTGGAAGGTGTCAAGCGATAACAAAGTAAAAGTTCACAATCCAGGGAGTCCCAGCCATACATACCCTCTGCCCTATGCGCCATGCAAGCCCCAAAGCCTACACCCTAAACCCTGAAACTGGAAGAAACCTAGAAGCCCTAAACACCCTCCGAGCTCTAAATCCCTACAGTGCCTGTTTTAAGCCCCAACAACCCTAAAGGCCCTGGAGCCACACACCCAACCCCCAAACCCCTCAAACCCTACAAACCCTAAACCCTCAAAACCCTAACCCCTAAAGCCTCACACCCTTAAACCCTAGACCCCTGAAACCCCTAATCCCTAAATCCCAAACCCCTAAACCCCTCAAACCCTCAACCCCGAAGCCCTTAAACCTTATAGACCCTAAACCCTGGACTCTAACGCCCTGAAACCCCTAAACCCCCAAACCCTAAATCCTAAACCCCTGACCCCTAAACCCTTAGACCCTTAACCCCTAAACCCCTAAACCCCCAAACCCCCAAACCCCAAACCCTAAACCCTAAACCCTAAACCCTAAACCCTCCTAAACCCCAAATTTCAAAGCCATGACACGGCGCCGCGGTGCCGCGGCTGCTGCCCTGGGACTGGGCTTGGGCCTGGCGCTGGGTGGCGGGAGGCCAGGGTTTCAGAATTTAGGTTTATAGGGTTTATAGGGTTTATAGGATTTATAGGGTTTCCAGGGTTTCTAGGGTTTATAGGATTTATAAGGTTTATAGGGTTTATAGGGTTTATAGGGTTTATAGGGTTTATAGGGTTTATAGGGTTTATAGGGTTTATAGGGTTTATAGGGTTTATAGGGTTTAGGGTTTATAAGGTTTAGGCTTTGTAAGGTTTAGGGTTTAGGGTTGAGGGGGTTTCTTGGGTTGCAAGTGGGTTATAGTTCAGGGTTTAGGGGGTTACAGGCTTCATAGGGCCTACAAGTAGGGGCCCCCTTACAATACTAGATTTAGTTAAGGGAGTTATAACCTAAATAGCAAGCAGGACTTATAACCCAATTAAGGCCCCTCATAACCCTACATATGACTAGGGGGCCCTACATGTATAGGGTTCGTAGGGTCGTTTGCGGTGTCAGGCTTTGGGAAGCTTTCGGGTCTGTTCGGGAGGGCTCCACGTCTTCGGGCTAGCAAAAGGAAAGGGTCAAACCCTAAACCCTTTAAACCCTAAACCCTAAACCCTAATGCGTCTATGGGGTTGTGGGGTTTGGTGATTGAGGGCTTACTTTGCGATAGCTCACATCGCAGCTCTAGCTCTGCAATCACCCTAAACCTTAAACCTAAGTCAGTTGGTAGCCAATGGCAACTATGAATCGTACTGGGCCATCCACGGACATGCCGGGCTCGACTCCAGTGCGGTTTGTCGCCTCAATCTTCTGGTGTTTGGTCGCTGGCATCGCACAAGTTTCTGCTAGGCTCATCAGGCCTTGCCAGATGTCCAGGCAGGCTGGTGGACGATCACGCCAGCGCAGACGTGATTCGCACCATCGCTCAACGGCTGGTGTGCGGCCTCCATGTTGCGTTCAACAAGGGGCGGCGGTCGCTGATGAAGGTGGCAAACGGCATCGTGTGCTGCAGGAGAAGGGACTCATGGGCTGGATGGGCTTCAGGATTGTACAGGTATATATGTAAACCCCAAACCCGAGATCCTCAACCCAGCCTTGGTTGAGGGTTCCAGCCAGATGTGAGGGCATCAGGATAGAGTTCGGTCTTGTTGGTTTGGTCATCCGCGCCCGCTAAACCAAGCCCCAAACCCAAACCCAAACCCGGGTCGGGTTTTGGGTTTAGAGTTTAGGGTTTGGAGCATAAATCAGTCTGGTAGAGTTTGTGCAGAGTCAGGGAGGTTTCCTTGAGCATTGGGACCCCTGAACCTTGTACCTCGGATGGAGAAGCCTGGCATGTACAATGTGGCTTCTTCTGTTCCGATACTGCTGATACATATGTATGTACGTATGTATGTATGTATGCATGTATGTATGTATAAATGTATATGTATTGGTCGAATGTTTGTGTTGTAAAAACCTAAGCCCAAACACCACCGCAGGGACTTTGCCGTCGCCAGCCATCCTGCCCGAGACGTGCGCGAGGCCATCGGCTTGGAGGTTTGAAGGGCCGCTTTTGGTTACTAGGGTTTAGGGTTTAGGGTTTAGGGAGTAGATAACCTTCGACCTTTTTGGGGCCCTACACCTATTGCTCCGCCCCCTTCCCCGGTATCATTCATTGAACTTGTGCTTGACCTTTGTATCTCCTTCCAGGTAAGAATCCCATCAACCGGCGTAACTTCTTGAACCACAACTTCACTCACATGCCGAAGGTCAAGACGAAATCGCTGGCCACATACTTTCTTCCCAAACGAAGTGACGCGGGCAAACTTCCTCCAGAGACGCTCACGCAGTCTGTGGCCACTTTCAGAAAATGTTATGCATGGTTTCATGCACTCACAGATCCCCTTGACGCCGATAGCCGATAGCCAAAGGACTGGCCCGAGCAGTGGCGTCTTACGGCTTCACCCAACGTTGTACTTCTTTCCACACCACGCCAGTCCTCCTCTCAGGACTCAGAGTCAGAAGATTCCTTGAAGGTCCCAGAGTTCGCATCCTTAAGTACAACTATCGAATCCCCCCCCATCCGTCGTTGCCTCTTCGGGCTTTCTGAATCTGTAAATTGTAGCATGTCTCACGCTCGACGCCGGGGACTTGCACAGCACACGTCGCACTTTGACCTTTTTGGGTTCTCGTATTCCCTTTAGAACCCCAACGGTTCACCTTTCATTCCGCCAGGATACTGGACAACTAAGTTTTGGGGTGCGGGTTCGGGTTTAGGGTTCAGGGTTTAGGGGTTAGGGCTTAGTGGCTTAAGATTTTAGGGTTTCAGGGCTATGGATCCTCATAGAAACCCGGTATGCCCCTGTAAAGTAGCACCTATACAGGCTGGGGCATTGGGCTGGGGGTTGACTGGAGTATCTGAACCCTAAACCCTCACCCGTACATCCTGGCCTTGGGGTTGAACCGTGTATCTGCCCTAAACCCTGTCGTATCATATGTCATATTCATGTGGCAGGTCCTCCACCTGATGCACCCCCAGTCTGGGTCCCTAAACCCTAAACCGCAGTGGAGTCAGAAGCTCCCGACACTTCTTTTCCCACCCTCCCTGAGTTTCGTCTGCTTCTGGTGTCTGCACATGTGGACGGGGAGTGTGGTCTGTCCTTCACATGCACCTCCCAAGGTCGATATTCTTGGGGATAGTTCCTAAATTAGGGTTTAGGGTTAGGGTCTATTTAGGGTTTAGGGACCGAACTCCTGAACCCTCAACCCTAAACCGCCGTTCCCTAGATCAGTAGGTCATGATTGGCATGGGCATTCAGACACCCACACGTGCCCAAAACAGGTTCTCGATGCTTCAGCGATTCAGGTTTCAGGTTTGTAGGAGTTCGGGGGTTTAGGGTTTAGGGTTTAGGTTAGGGTTTGAGTCTGAACCCCTCAAGCTCGATCCCACACCCTCAGCCCTCAATGCCACGACTAGTGGCCCCCTTCCCCTTCCCCCCCCCTCTGCCCGCCAAAAGAAAAGAACACAACGAGCAAAAATATGCCCTAAACCCTAACCCTAAACCCTAAACCCGAACCCTAAACCCTAAACCCCAAACCCTAAACCCTTCAAGCGGGGCACAGCCCCCAAAAAGAATCCCCCAAAGACAGCTCACAGGTGTGGTCCCAGTGGCTCCAGAAGCATGCCAGGGGCCTGGGAAGAGGGGGGAAGCCTACATACAGGGTTAGGGTTTAGGGTTTAGGGTTTAGGGTCTAGGGTCTAGGGTCTAGGGTCTAGGGTCCGGGCCACACAGCTTCAAGACTCCCAAAAACCCTTCATCGAGGCCTTTGGGTTTCAAACAAACCGTAAACTCCACGGCGTAACCCCAGACGCTTTGATTGCCACAATACCCGGTATGACCATATGTCCTACAGACCCTCCTAAAAACCCAATATGATGATAGGCCGTACATCCTTCGTACCCTGTATGCCTTAGCTACCCTATATTTGTGAAAATATCCTCTACGCCCTAAATTTAATAAGCCCTACAAAGACATGAACGCCGAGAAGCCCCTACAGCCCTCGGGCACCTCCTGACACGCCCCCCGTGGCCCCAGAGGCCCCCAAGGTTCAGAATTTAGGGGTTTAGGGTCAATTAAACTAAACCCTAAACCCT